AACTGAAATGGACTTACAGAAAATAGCCCGTAATGTTCAAGTGGGTGAAAAAAATCAACATAGTTTGCAAAATTATTTACAAAAAAAAATAAACCCACGTTAGTGTTTACCCGCATTGATGTGAAACTCTTGAATTACTTCTGGCGCAGCCAGTTACCATCAGAAGTCACATAATTATTCAGAGTCAATCTGTGTGCAATGAAATTGTCATGTGATCTGAATATAAATACATAATTACTGGAAGGCCCCAGAGTTTGTTAGAGAAAATACCTAAACAAAGGGCATATAGGAGACCAAGGAGTTGGGAAAGTATCAATCAGGGTTTGGTTATAAAAAAACAAATCCAAACAGAGCACCATTAAATCCATTATTAAAAAATGGAAAGAATATAGCAAAACCTCAACTCTGCCTAGAGGAGGCTGTCCACCAAAAGTCAGTGACCAGAGTCACAACCAAGAGGCCAAGGGTAACATTTAACATGATGCTACCACTACCACGTTTTACTATGGGATCGTTGTTCTCAGTCTTTGATGTGACATGGTTAACGATTGTCCTGCATGTTTTTGACCACGATTTATCAAACACCCTCCATAGAAACCATCATCAAAAGGTCGGGGGGGGGCTCGTGGTTTGCATGCACGGCACGGTGGCTTAGTGGTTAGCACCTTACATGTTCTAAAAACGTGCAAAATAGAGTTCTCTTACAATAATTTCATGATACACCATGGCAATGTCTCAAGGTGTCTCCATAATACGTCCCCATGCTGACATGCACTATCTGTAACAGAAATTTATTAGCTCCAACATCTGTAATCTGTAACCTTCTTGTTCAGTTGTACATTAATTTGAGAGGACAAATGAACCAAAATGAACAAGGTCACAATTTTAGATCGCAAAAAAGCAAATGGTAGAACGCGGTACGATATAACGACTTCAGTTTAGTATCTCACAGTCACGTTGATTTGATTGATTTGAAACAAAACAAAAATTCACTTCTAGATACATGATCTGCTCTGGTTTACATTGAATAAGCCTTCTCTTGAGCAGATTTTGAGCTTTAGAACTGTGCTGTCATGGCACTACAAACAGGTCTTGTTACCAAGACAACAAAAATCTAGGATTGTGTCAAAATCAATCAAATCAATGTGACTGTGAGATACTAAATCCAATGCAGTCCAGTTCACCTTGCAATTAAAGTACAGAGAACAGAGCACAGATACCCTTTTTTTATTCTGAGCCATAAAAAAGTCTGGGTGGGATTTAGGAATTATGTTATTGTTTCCTTCCCTGTTATTAGATAATTTGATCACACAGTATGGCATGGTAACACATAATATATTGTACAGCTTTTAGGTTTCTGGTCATATTTACTTCTTCTTCTTACAGATTGTGTATAAGGGGAACCCGTACGCTGCTCACAACTCCACCGCGTATGCCACCTATGAGAGGGGGGTGGAGGTGGGCTGTTGGGGGCTGTGCATCAACGCTGTGTCCTCTGCTCTCTATTCCTGTGAGTGTTTACAACGCTGTGACTTTTCCTGCCATTTTTCACCACCGCTGTCCTAATGCATGCACAGAATACACTGAAATGGATGTGCAACACTACGTAGAGATAAGGGAATCAGATTTGCCATTCCTCAAAAGGAGGCTCTAAGCAGTGATTATATCTAAAGCAGATTTGCAAAGCAAACGTTCTGCCAAGAAAAACCTTGGCATAATTTCCCCATTCCCACAAACAGTCAATCATCTAGGACATGTTTTGGATTTGAAGTTTTCTCAAGGTTAAAGTGGGGCTTAAACGGCTCAATCTCTCATTAATGAAGATGTTTGCACTCCGAGGACATCATAGCTTAAAGGTGTTACGGTTTTATATTAGTTATTTTCTGTATGTTTGCAGTTTCTCTGTAAAATGACAAACTGCAGCTTTTTGTCTTATTAACTAAAAAAAAAAAAGACAGGCTGTTCAGGGAACAACTGTTTATTACTTCTATAACATGGATGATAACAAGGCTAACTTGTTTTTGCAGATGTTCCACAACATTACATTAAGATAAAAACGATTAAAATGTATGATGTGTCATTCTTTAATAAATTATATTTTTTTTTATTGTTGGCCAATTGCTGTGGTATAAGAGAAATAAAACACTTGTGGAGATGCTGATGTTGAAATATATATATATATATATATATATATATATATATATATATTTATACACACACACACCACAGTGCAGTTGAATGTTTAAATCTAATTGATCAGAAGATGTGCATTATTTTTGTATAACAGCATGGCTCAGACTGTAGTTCCGGCTGTAACGTGAACGATAGCTTAATATTAATGCACTCATTCTACTACGTTATTGTTTCTATAGTAACAGCTAAATACTCAAGGACTTGTGCTGCAGATACTCCACATAATCTAAGACTAATAATAAGCTGATTTTAAAACATAGTGTTGTTTAACAAAGTAAATCTTATGATCATTGATGTGGTGAGGTTTTTTTTTGTTAGGGGACATTTATTTAAAATTTATGGAAGATGTCTTGTTTGTAAGCACTTTTTTAACAGTAAAGGTTTCCCAGCTCAGGAAAGTTTACAGAGGAGTTACGCTTTCTGGTTTTTCAGTAAGATGACAGGCTGCATTTTTAGAGAGAGATAAAGAGAGAGAGAGGCTGGTGAGGGAATAACTGTTTATCGCAGCTATAACTGTCGTGGGTTATTCTTTACATAACAGCACCATACTACCTAACAGCATAACAGCAGCATACATACATACCATTTAGTCCATACTTAATATATTGGTATTACCCTCCAACTATAATTTTGAAAACAATTCCTTTATTCCTTAGACCCAGATATGCATTTACACACAACAGCCACTAACCCAAGACCCAAAAATCTATCGAAAGCCTCTATCTAAGGACATATCAATTCTTACACTATCCAATTCAGCTGTGATTTAGCCACTATGCAAATAACCTTCATGACAACATTAAATGTGCCAACGTCTTACCAGAATCCTACAATGGTGTAATATATCTAACAAGTAAAGGAAATTTATAGCTGCCAGGATAGCATTGTACAAACTACTATGTGTTAAAAATCATCATAAACCCACGTCAAAAGTCACGTCAACAGCTTTTGGATCAGCAGCAAAATCAAAAGTTTCAAAATATGTTTTAAAGATACAGTGCTTAGGATTTTTTTTTTTAAATGAATAAAAGAAATTGTTTAAAACATGGTGTAAGAGTAATTCACATTAATTCATAGTCAGAAACGTTGGGTTTGAAATGATGGGAATTTTCCTGCACCAGAAGCAGCTCAGATGTGCAGTCACATTTGAAAGTAGTTGTCAGGTCCATGCATGCCATGAACTCCGCTTCCCAGAACACACCACGGCCTACAGATATGGCTGCCATGTACTACAATCCCCAGCACCACACCCCGCTGGGACGTTCACACTCATCCATGTTCTAATCATGCACACCTGTTTGCACACACACACACACACACACACACATACGTACACTGTAAAAGTAATGCTCAGTTTATGTTTTACATTTGACTTTACCAAGCTGCTTGCCCATGATTGTTGTTAGTCTGGTTTCTGGATTATTGCCTGTTTCTCGTTTCATGAGCTTGTTTTTGTCCTAGTCCATGCTGTTTGCTCATTGCCTGACCCACGCCTGTCTTTTGACTTTGATCGTGTCTGATGTTTTGGATACCTCTGCCATTATCTTCATTAAAAGCTTTGAACTGCAATTGCATCTGTGCCTACTCTCTGTTCCTGACAGTAGTACAGCCAAAGACCCATCCCCAGATTTTGATAGATCATAATAAAGCACAAAACAGACAGTGATAGCAAGCTCATGGTACATAGAATGTCGTTTGGGACACAGTCTTGAATGTGCATCATTTATCCCGCAAGCACACCCCATATTATGACATGTTCCTCCACACATAGCTTGTAAGTAGCATACCACAGATGGCACAATTTTTGAATCTTACGCACAGCAGCATTGAGAAATAAAAATACAAAATCGGAGCATGATGCTAACATATTACTTTTTAGCTACTTTAGCCCCATAGCTCCAGTGCAAAACTAAAGCAGCAAACTTGAGAACTTGAAACTTGAATACTATTGCTCCTTTAATTATGTTTATGATGTGCTTGTTTTTGCATGTGCAGACATACAGAGGCTGCTACTGCCCTACATTGGCTTGAAGGGTCTCTACTTCATGGGCTACTTTGTGTTCGGACTGGGCACAAGTCTGATTGGTCTGTTTCCCAATATCATCTCCACGCTGTCACTGTGCTGTGTGTTCGGGGTGATGTCCAGCACACTTTACACCATCCCGTTCAACCTGATCTCGGAGTACCACAAAGAGGAGGAGGTCTGTGTGTGTGTGTGTGTGTGTGTGTGTGTGTGTGTGTGTGTGTGTGTGGAAACGTGGGCAGTTAATTTATGCCAGAACAAAAGCAGAACTGGAATATGCAATTATGTTTGATAGCGTGTATGCTGGCGATTGTGTGTCAATCTGGGACAATATACAACTGTGTATAGTGTGGAAGTACAGATTGCTTTGTCACAGTGGGATTCCTTGGCCCTAGATGCATCATTGACTGGAGCACGTCATGTTTCCGTGTGCACGGCAGCAGTTCGGATTCACATTCAATCGTTTTGTGCTCAGAGAAAAAGGGGTGAAATGCATATTTGAAATGATTGACAGCTGAACCAAGGACAATGCGGATCATCTTTACACCACATTCCTCACCTCCAAACCTCATTGCAGTCACGTTGGATCAAAACTCCTAGTTGTTGTTACTCTTTCTGCTGCTCCTGTTAGGGGACGCCACAGTGGATCAATGGTGCGTGTATTTGATTTGGCACAGTTTTTATGTCAGATGTCCTTCCAGATGCAACCCTCCCCAGTTTTATCCGGGCTGGGGAACGGCACTGAGAGCGCACTGTTGCACACAACCCCAGTGGCTGGGGTCGGTTCCCTGGCCGGGAATCGAACCCGGACAGAGGTGGTGAGAGCACTGTGGCCTAACCACTAGTCCTCCAGGGTCCCCTGGATCAAAAATCCTAGTATTTTCACTTTTTTATATGGTCTGGTTGAAATCCTTTTTTTTTTCTTGATGATTTTATTCCTTGCATAAGGAATAAAACACTGTGTTGTGCTAGCATAGGAAAATAATCTACATCGAGGTAGTGTGATGAGACTTTTTCTGTCTATAGTTACATTTACATTTGCGGGAAGGTCTCCAGAACATTCGCGTTACCTTATTTAAGTTACACTGTGTACATTTATAAACAGTCATTTTTAAATACGTTTTTGGTGATTTAATTACTAGAGATGTCCTCTCACGTTTGCTTAAATCAATTATTAACATCCTGTTATGTATTATTCCTTAATAAGTTTTTTTTTTAATTCCTTTGGTGATTTAATTTACTAGAGATGTCTTCTCATGTTTGCTTAAATTAATGCTTTCCTCTCACCAGTAGGATGTTTACATGGTTAATTGGGAAGGCTATAAAAAGGAGAACCAGTTTGCAAATCCATCAGCCTCTGATTAACACTTGAGGTGCTGATTAGAAACTGAAGCCACTGGGGAAAAAGTCAAGCTTTTTAATCATGACTTGCTTAAAAACAGCAAAAAACAACAAACCGTTAATGGCTTCTTTTAATGAAACATTATCCTAAACATTAATGTTTTTAGGAAAACATTTTTACTTCTATCCAGTCTAACAAGTCACACTTTTTATGGAAAATGTTGGGAAACCCTAAACAGAGTTTGGCGCTACCTGTTCACTTGCCAGTTAATAGGCTAATTATCAGTTAGCATATAAGATTAGCAGTCTCCATAAATCAACGCGCTTACGCCGCATTCAGGACACGTGGGAGAATTTGTGATGGCAGGAAAAATTCAGTCTTGAAAAATAGCAGATAGTAATAGTAGTTTTTATCTAGTTAGCTTTAGCTGTGTCCATATTAATAATCAGTATGATATCTCCCTAATCTTTAATAAAAATGGAAGCGGGTGGTGAATCGTCAGCTGTAATTTATTACAAATTGAAATCTAAACAGAAATTCCTATTTTAAGACTTAATTACCTTGGAATATATTGAGAGATATCGAGGCTGTCAGAAAGCTCCCAGGAAGGTGAGAGTTGTGTTTTTTTTTCCAGTCAGAAAGTGGGAAAAAATGTTTTCTCAGTGGTAAGGTGAGAATTTTTCCAAGTCAGAAGGTGGGAATTAAATTTTTTTTTTTTTTTTTCATAATTGCTAATTTCATACCTGAAGGTGGAGATTATGCTTTTTCCCAGTCTGAAGGTGTGAATTCCATTGTTTTCAATATGAAAAGTGGGAATTACACTTTTTTCCCAATTAGAAGGTGGGAATTACACCTTTTCCCAGTTGGAAGGTGGTAAGTATGCTTTCCCAGAAGGAAGGTGGAGCTTATAGTTTTTCCTAGTTGGGAAATGAATGTTACAATTTATTCCCAGTCACAAGCTGGGAACTGCACATTTTTCCTAGTCATATAGGAACAACTGTAATCCCCACCTTCTTAATAGGAAAACCAATTCAACTCTGAGAACGAAATAGGTTAATCCATTATTCTTGTTATTTTGACATGAAAGCATTCACGCATTGCCTTATTGTTTACTGGGGGGAACAAAAGTGTTTTTCTAACATTAGCACAATATCTTGCTTACCTTTAACAGAACTGAGGCAGAGAGTGAAATTTATCAGTCGTAAGCCATTATGTTTCTTCCAGGGCAAGGCCATTTTGTCACTTCAGTATTATAAGGTTCTTACATTTAATGGCCCCAGATATAAGTATAAGGTCACAATTTCTACATCTAATTGTATGAAAATAAAATGTATCTTTTGTTGTGCAAAGAGCTTAGCATATAAGCATGGGATAAAATCAAAAGTCCAAAACCAAGCTTAATGAGATACAAAGTATACAATTATAGAACAAAATAAAAGTCATATAAATACAATAAATAAAAAGAATAAGATAATTCAAAGAATTTCAAAACAATTAAATAGAAATTTAAAAAATGAGGAAATACTTTTAATTAAATGCCAAATTAAAAATATGTTCTGTTTATGACAGAAGTGTTTTATTAAAATATCTATGTAATAATATGTAATCTTTTTTTTTTCTTTTTTGAGTTATAGGGTGCCAATAAAACATTTCTGGGATTATGTATTTTTTCACCCTGATAATTTTGTTTTGCTTTAGCTCTAATGCATAAAGCATTATGCATTAGAGCTAAAGAGCTAAAAAAAAAAATTCATCATACATTTAATGAATGTTGACTGATGATATACATTTTGTCCTGCAGGAGAAGGGGAAGCAGAGTGGGAAGGACGCATCTCCGCAGAGCAGAGGGACGGGAATGGACTGTGCAGCTCTGACCTGTATGGTGCAGTTAGCTCAGATCATAGTGGGAGCTGGACTTGGAACTCTAGTCAATATGGCCGGTAGCGTCATAGTGGTGGTTCTATCGGCTTCAGCCGTGTCCCTCATCGGCTGCCTGTTTATTACTGTCTTTATTAAATATGTACACTGAAATAAACACATTGAAATTGAAATAAACACAAAGGTTCTCTTACCAGTCTCTTTCATATCGGTCTCATATTTGTGACTCATTCATTTAACTTCAGCCTTCAATTTTAATCCACATGGTCCCTTTTACCTGTTTTATGTATACCACATTGATCACCACACAGTTCTCTTTTCACAAACACCTTTTTATTTAAAACTGACCTCCACGGCTTCCATGTGTACTTAATGGACTCTATAATATGACAATAGCTCTCCTTAGAACATACTACAGTGAATCTTATTTCAGTTCCCTCAATACAGTCATTGATGGTTGAGGTCATGGGGTCACACACTCAAACGAGAAAAATAAAAATCATTACAATTCATTCATTCCTCTTCAGGAAGTACTTTATTCAGGTCAGGGTCTCAGTGGCTCTCAGTGGAATCTTAGAAACTTCTACTTAAGGTCAGGTCACCGTTTCTACATCTAAGTGTATGGGAATAAAATGTAACTGTTTTGTTGTGCAAATTATTTCAAAACTTAAATCTGTCTTCTATGTAATTTGTTTTCAGTGCAAAAGAAAGACTCTTTTTGGAAGCAACAGGTCCATAAACACAATGTTATGCAAGATTTATTGTTTATTGAACATTTATTGGAGGTGTGGACATTAGGCTCTTTCTCGTGCTAATGAAACAACGAATTGAGGCAACAAGGGACAGACACCTACAAAAAGGGCCCTACAAACAGGGTTTTACATACAAGATCAATACGCTAACGATGCTGACAGAAAAGGAGACTCGATTTCATTCTATTTGTTATTATCATGCTGTGTTAAGACTGCTATCTCACCCCTATATATGTATTTATTTATATATAAACACAGAATTATGCTAACCCATTTGTTTCCATAGCTAATGTGTTAGCAAATGTTAAATTAGCTGTTTGTATTCTTAATGGCCATGCTAGATTGCTAGCTAATTAGTCAGGCAATACTGCGCATATAATACAGAGACATTCTTGTTATTAAAATCTCTTTTTAATAAACACTCTTGTTATTGAGAGCTGTGAGAAAACAGTTTGAACTAACTAGCCAGCTAGCTAGTGAACTAAGCTATTTAACTACAGTGACTAATCAGTCAGCTAGTAAGCTTATTTGCTAGCTTTTTTTTCTTCTTTTTTTAACCATACAAAAGCAATAAGCTGTTCAAATGAGATGTTAGAAGCTAGCTTAGCTTTCTGACCACATTTACTTATGCTTTCAAGCTTTTTGTAATTGTAATAAAATTAGTGTTGCTCGTGTGCTATGCTAAATCTTTTCTTTCCAATGCTAGTCATTATTTTTAAAAGCAATCTACTGCCATGAACATATCAGAAGTGCAGAATTTGTTTTTAGTCACAAACAGTTCAATTTTGCATCAGTTCTATGTGTATATGGTGCATGTTTATTAAGGATTACATGAAGACATTAACACTAACACTACACGATACACTAAATGAAGAAAAATGTCTCCGTATTTAATATTGCCACATTCACTTTAATATCCATTTATTAAGTGCAATGAATTTTTATGACGCTTAAGTGTGAGAACTACTTATGATTAAATACTACAGCTATATTTTCAGTGTCTCTATGAGATGGAGTTTTGACAGTAACCACTACAAAAAAAAAGAAATACAAAATCATTGATATGTAGTTGCTTTATTTCAATATTTGTGGTTTTGATGATTTTTTTCCTCTTCTAAAAGCACACTGTTTATTTACTGGTAGACACTCAGTGGTCTTGATTATGTTTTGATTCATAATTGAGTTGAACACACATTATTGAGTTACACCTACGAACTGACACATAAACACACTGTACACACCCGTAATGTGTCCTCTGTGGAATAATAATTTTTTTTTTAACATTTTTGTTAATACAATCAGTTAAAAGAAAATGGTGTTAAAAAAAAAAAAAACTTTTATAGTAATGAATCGACTTTTAATTGATTAATTATTAATTAAGAGAAAAAGGTAATATTGTAATTAATTAATAATTAATATTTTTCCCCTGATAAATAAATAATTAAATAATTAAATAAATTGTCTCCCCTGCTGTTTATCTGTAAATATGACAGATTTTTTGGGAGCCAGTGTGAATCTGCACACTTCTGACATGAGGTTATTACAGCTGTAAATGCTCCCCAAGCAGCCACTCAGAGTTCCTGTTCACACACAGCTCCACTCAGTAATAATTCCTGGAGGCACTTTTAAGGGTTCTGTAATTGAGTCAACCAAAAATAACACCTAAAATATCTTCCAGGAACATTTCTATTCTGTTTTTTTGTTTGTTTGTTTGTTTGTTTTTTGCGTCCAGTCTACGTGCTGTTCGGCAGAAGGTCATTTCTCCCGGTATACACCACAGCACCGGGTGGGTAGAAGACGAGGCCAGGGTCGGGGGTGCTGAGCGGCACTACAGAGCGCGCCTGCTTCTCATGCTCAGGTTTGCTGCAGGCCGTGAAGGGTCGC